TCGTGGTGTTTTGTGTGTATTTGTGATGTTTTGTGTGTCTGTGATGTCTTGTGTTTCTTTGTGGTGTTTTTTATGGTGTTTTGTGTGTATTTGTGGTGTTTTGTGTTTCTTTGTGGTGTTTTTTATGGTGTTTTGTGTGTATTTATGGTGTTTTGTGTGTATTTGTGGTTTTTTGTGTGTATGTGTAGTGTTTTTGTGGTGTTTCTTGTGGTGTTTTGTGTGTATTTGTAGTGTTTTTTGTTTTGTTTTGTGGTGTTTTTTGTGGTGTTTTCTGTGTGTTTGTAGTGTTTTGTGTTTCTTTGTTGTGTTTTGTGTGTCTTTGTGGTGTTTTTTGTGCATTTCTGGTGGTTTTTTGGGTATTTTGTTTGTTTTTTTGTGTGTGTTTGTAGTGTTTTCTGTTTCTTTGTTCTGTTCTGTGTGTGTTTGTGGTGTTTTGTGTGTCTTTGTGGTGGAAGTCGGGATGCCTTTCTTGAGGCTCCAGCCTTCGTGGGCCGGTTTGTGAGTCGGTCAGCAGACCGGAAACGGCCAAAGCTGCGGTGGACATCCACAGAGGGGCGTTCAGGGCCCCTCCGGCCCCCCGGCGCTCTGGGGGACTTCGTCTCCACCCTGTTCACCCCTCACAGGGGCGATTAACAGCAAATCAAACGCTCCCTGGACACCCCAGAGCCTGGTGCCACAAGCCCCGCCCCTCTAGGACCCAAACCAAGCGCCCCCCTGTGAACCCCCATGGCTTAAACTTTGGGAGCAGAACCCCCGAGCCTCTGCAGGGCTCCGCCCCCTCAGCAGGTGCCCCGGCACCCCGAACCGAGCGCTCCCCTGGTGACCTTCTCCGGCTGGACCTCTCATCCAAACGAGGCAGCAAATCGAGCGCACCTTTCATTACCTCACTCCCTCCGCACGCCTACCTCACCATCAGCATCATCACCCCCCCCAGACCCCGAGATGCACCATCACCCCCCCAAACACGCGCACACACGCACGAACATACACACGCACAGCCGGGGCGTGGGGCTCCCCAAATCGAGCGCCCCCCTCCCCGTCTGCAGCCTCCCATCCACGCGCCCCCCCCCC